AAGATACCCAGAGGAAGTACCTGTACGTATGTCGATGTCAGAAAGTATTGGTGGCCCCATCACGAAGTTCGTTGAAACGGGGATTCGTGTGTCAGTTGAGGACGAAGTTCGTATGATTCGGTTGGACGTCACGAAGTTGTGCGATGCAGATGTGGTGATAGGATGGGAATGGATGAAGAAGGAAGGAGTGGTCCTGGATGTTAGGGAGGAGGTAATAAAGATCCCGGGTAGACAGAAAAGAGAAGGGGAGAAGTTAGGAGCGGTTTTTGGGTTCAAGGAAGGGGAGGTTTTAGGGCCTAGAGACTCGGCGTTGGAAGACGAACTTAGTGAGGAAGAACAAGAAGAACTGCTGGAAGTGGTACCTTCTGAGTACCATGGTTTCTTGGATATCTTTAATCCTAAGGTAGGAGGAGAGACATTACCTCCAAACCGAAGTTACGATTTGAGACTGGACCTAGTGGAGGGGGCGAAGTTAAAGGTGGCCCCGCTGTACTCGTTAGCTGAAGATCAGAGAAAGGCGTTAAGGGAGATTCTGGAGAAGGAGGTAGCGGCTGGTAGAATTCGAAAGAGTAACTCGCCTTATGGGTCACCTATGTTCATGGTTCCCAAAAGGGTAAAAGGACAGTGGCGGATGGTGACGGATTATAGGAAGTTAAACGAAGTTACCATTCCAGACGTTTATCCCCTTCCATTGATCAGTCAGATTACTGAAGAATTAGGTACAGCAAACTATTTTACGAAACTCGACTTGATGGGGGCATACCAATTGTTACGAATTGCTGAAGGATACGAGTATCTGACAGCATTTCGTACACAATACGGAATGTATGAGTCGTTAGTGGTTAGGGATGGTCTACGAAATGCGCCTGCTGTGTTCCAGCACTTCTTGAACGACATCTTTAGGGATTTACTAGGGGAGGGGGTCATAGTGTACATCGACGACATTCTGATTTATGCTAAGACTAAGGAGGAACTTAGGAGGTGTACGGTAAAGGTATTTCAAAGACTTAGAGAAGCTAAATTGTTTGTGAAGGCGGCGAAGTGTGAGTTTGAACGAACTTCGGTGGTGTTTCTCGGGTACGTAATTTCAAAATCAGGCATTTCGGCAAACCCAGAATACGTTGCTGCTGTACAGGATTTTCCTCGACCTAAGAACTTACGAGAATCCCGAGGGTTCATGGGAATGGTCAGCTACTACCGAAGATTCGTCCCGAACTTCTCGAAACTTGCGAAGCCTCTGAACGATCTTACTCGCAAGGATGTAAGCTTCACATGGGGAACTGAGCAAGAGGAGGCGTTCAGAGTGCTGAAGAAGAAGTTATGTGAAGCTCCAGTGCTAGCTCACTTCGACACCTCCTTGAGAACGATTATGCAGGCAGATGCCTCGTTCTTTGGATGGGGATATATTATCTCACAGGTTGATAAAGAAGGTAGGGAACACCCTGTGGCTATAGAATCGGGAGCTTTTAAGGGTGCTGAGTTGAATTATACTACGGGGGAAAAGGAGTTGTTAGCAATAGTCGAAGGTTTCAGGAGGAAGAGACACTTATTACTACAGGTAGAAACGAAGGTCTTGACAGATCATCTTAATCTGACATATTGGATGGCCCCGAAACAATTGAATCCTAGACAAGGTAGGTGGGTAGAAGAACTGGCTAACTTCAGATTTACGATGATTTACCGTCCCGGGAAGCAAGCGACGCTGCCAGATGCCTTGTCAAGACGACCGGACTATCATCCCGGGATAAAAGGAATAACGACGGAACAAGAGGAGAACTTCGTCCAAGGGCTGCCGAAGTTCGACTCGGAAGATGTTACTGAATCAAGCCTGGGACACATGCTCCGGGCTTTGCAGGGGACAAAAGAAGTTAGGGAGGAAGATCGGATCGAAGGCGAGGACATTGTTAAAGGATACGAAGTTGATGAAGAAATAAACGAAGTTCGGGAGGGGATGTTAGCAGTCATCTGCGTTGAGTGTTCTCACCCCGAATGTAGAGCTGAACGTCAGGAGCCATGGCAAGTTGAAGAATTTCGACGACGATCACGACATGGAATGTTCGTGAATCCGTCGTGGTCGGTAAGGGGTTTCCTACGGTTTGACGGACGATTATATGTTCCGAATATCGAAGAGATGCGAGTGAAGATTTTGAAATCTAGACATGACTCGGTATTGGCCGGTCATCCTGGAGTTACGAAGACGTTAGAATTAGTGCTTAGAGATTACATTTGGAATGGAGTTAGGAAGGATGTTGAAGACTACGTTGGAGGTTGTGTGGTTTGTCAGAGAGCTAAAACAAACAGACAGAAACCTCAAGGAACGCTGAAGACACTGGAAGTAGCGGAGAAGCCCTGGTCTAGTATTTCGATGGACTTCGTTGAAGAACTTCCTGAGTCAGATGGTTTCAACTCGATTTTGGTTATAGTTGACCGGTTGACGAAGTGGGCGATGTTCCTACCAACGACGACGAATCTCACAGCTGGGGGGTTAGCTGATTTGGTAATTGAACATGTGGTGGCTCAGCATGGACTACCAGAAGGGATAGTTTCGGATAGAGGAGCGAAGTTTACATCGAAGTTCTGGAAAGATCTCACTGCTAGTCTTGGTATAAGACTAAATCTCTCCACTGCGTATCATCCACAGACTGATGGCCAGACTGAACGAACAAATCAAGCTTTGGAAATGTATCTACGAGTATTCGCCTCTTACCAGCAGGATGATTGGGCGAAGTTATTGCCAAAGGCTAGCTTTGCGTATAATAACACGATTCACTCGGCTATTGGGATGAGCCCGTTCTTCGCGAACTTCGGGTACCACCCACGATGGACAGACGAGATTAAGGAATCTGAAGTAGAAGTTCCTGTTGCTCGAGCAGTTGTTACTGACCTACAGGAGATACACAAGCGATGTGTTGAAGGCATTAAACTAGCCAATCAGAGATAGTCCGAAGCGTATGATCGAAAGCGCTCAGCAACACCGCTTTTTGAAATTGGAAGCAAAGTAATGTTATCTCTTGAGAATATTAGAACTAAGAGACCCAGTAAGAAGTTGGATGCTAAACAAGCAGGCCCGTACGAAGTTATTGAACACATTGGGACTCATGCGTGCAGGTTGAAGTTACCAGCCTCAATGGCCAGGCTTCATAATGTGTTTCATGTGTCGTTGTTAAGGAAGTTCCAACCAACGAACTTCGTGGGGCAGGAGGCAGAACTTCCTGATCCAGTCGAAGTTGATGACTCAGGAGAGTTGTGGGAAGTCAAGAATGTTCTAGATTCTAGGATAAATAGGAGATCTGGAAAGGTTGAGTACTTAGTAGAGTGGTTGGGATTTGAGGGAACTGATGATGCTGTCTCTTGGGAACCGAAGGAAAATGTTGATGGTGCAGATGAAATTCTCACAGAGTTCCACGAACGATATCCTGAGAAACCGAAGGAAAATTTAGTTCGTCGAGCTCGTGCTCGACGAACTTAGGGACTGTGCAAGACTGATACATGGGACAAGAAGTTTTACAATCGCTAAGTTTTATTTCTCTCTTCATCTACAAGAATGTCAATATCGTCTATCACCATTCTCCCTTTTCCTTTCTCACGACTCCATCTTCTACTATCATCCCACCATGAGTGGGCTCCCTCAGTATCAGTAAGCTCTTCACGGGCTACCACTAACAACGGATCGTTTCTTATCACGTTTCTCATCCGCCAGTTAGCATCCCAGAACGTCTCACTAGCCGCACGAACCTCGTCCCTCAGTCCTTGAGTGCTGGGCCCAGCAACCGCGACACCAGTCAGATCACGCTCCTTTCGCCCGATGGTATCATTGATCTCTCCCCAGAACTTATGGCCGAAGATAGCGTGGCGACCAGTACGAAGGAGATGTTCGTTCCATTCGAGCAGCAAACTATGAGTAGCAGATCCAATATGAGAACTTTTCTTTGATAAGTTCCGGGTTAAAAGACGAATTTGATTAAGGAAACGACGAATGATGACCCCTTGTACGTCCATCATGTCTGCTGCACGAAGAGCTACCATGGTCATAGCTGCTAACCGTTTCTCCGTCTTCAAATTGTCCAGGGTGAGAACCTCGACTAGCTTCTTGAGGTCCGCGATAATTTCCTCCTGGGTAGCAG